ACCAGGGCTACTAGCTGGTGTCTCATGTACGGACTGGGAACACCTCACAGAGGTGTTCCGGAAGCTATCATGATAAGTTGACGTTGAAGCCGACTCTGATAGCTTGGTCCTCTTCTGCTCAATGTATTGCCGAGCATCAGAGAATGTTTTCTTGCTACCATCCGGATGTATGTGCCGGATGGCTTTTCTTGTGCTCGCTTCCGGGAAACGGAGCCGAGTAAGGTCAAATTGGGGTCGGGCCTTCTCCGTAGGGGCAGGATGAGGATTCGGCTGACGGTCCCTGACCGACTTCTGTTTGCCAGCCTAGGCTGGCTTCTTGGCCGACTAGAGTCATGGTTAGGTTGCAAACTCATTGCATCATATTCTAGGAGTAGGCGACTTCTTTGAGGCGAGTAGTTTGATTTCACCCCTGAGGCTGCTCAGGAGCCTCATTAGTTCATCTCGAGTGACCGGAGTTGATCCTGCCGCCTAGGAAGGATCAACCGGCCGCCCCGAGGGCTTCTTTGGCTGACCAGCAGTTTTGCTTGGCCCTGCCTGGTAATGATTACGCTCCCGCCTCTCCTTACTACGGATGCGTTTAGAGATGAGGGATCCATTTGGATCCACATAGGTTTCGACGTCAGCGTCGTCACCTGAGTCATGGTCCGTTTGGACCAGTATATCATCTGGAGGCCGATTGACCTCTGGATTTGGTACAGGTTCTTGTGAAGACATTTCACAGGTACTCTCCCCACAGACGGCGCCAAATGTTTCGGGGGTTTTTGTCCCTTGGGAGAGTTACAACACTGAAACTGGATTCAACAACGGGCGCCTGTACCTGCAAAGCAAACGGACCGCCGAATGGTCGGTGGTCCGCCTCCGAAGATTAAGTTAGTAAACGTTCGGTAATAAAACGTGCGGAATTAAAGTTATCTGCTTGGATTCCAAGCTCAGGTAAACTGCTGTCTGTTCTTTGAAAATGACAACTCTGTAGTAAGTGACATATTATCTCGTAGTGCGTGAATATTCTCTCTCTTTTTCGGTGTATATCTTTTTCTGTCTTGTCATAAATGTAAGAATGACCCTATTTATAGGGTTCTTTTGGAAAGTGTGCCCTACCTAGGATCTGGTGACCTAGGGATTAGGGCACACTGTTTTTTAAGGGCCCCTTGGGATTTGGGCCTTGAAAGCCGCCATTCCCAGGGGGCAATATATGCTCGACACGTGTCACCATCTGGAAGGTCCAAGTAGGTGCCCCTTCCAGTGACACGTGTCATGCTCTGATTGGGCCACTTGGCAGGGTATAAAATACCCAAATCAGCTGCCGTTTACGAAATCGGAGCCGAAGGTGATCTGGAATCAGTGCTAGCGGTTACAGGGTTTGGTGAAGAACGATGGTGATAGTTTGAAGCTCAAAAAAGAGGGAAAAGAGGAAGAACGTTTGGAGAAACTTTGATTAAAGCTTAAAATAGAATTGAAATATAGGTGAAATCGATTTATGGGAGATACTACCGGTTGATCTATTTCGTTTGTAGGAGTATAAGTTTGAATTTAACTTTATGGGAGGAGAGAGAATGTTTGTGAGAGGAGATTGAGATCGTGGGATCTCAAGGGATGAAAATGGAGGGGTGAGATTTGAGGTAATAACTGAAGAAGAAGAGGCGCATAAAGAGAAGAAAGAGGTTTAGGTTAGATTTTTTTTAAAAAAAAAAATATTTATTAATATAATATGGTACAACTAGATAGAGAGTTTCTCTGATAGCGGCATTCTGTTTGACTCTCCTTACAACTGTGATCATACCTAGGCGTTCTATATTATCAAATTTGATTTTTGCTTATATTTTTTATTTATTTGATTAAAACAAATAAAACTGTTATTAAAGAGAGGCGTTTTATATATTTTAGTTTTAAAAACCGTCATCAAACAAAAGCATTCTATATAATTCTATAGAACGCCTATCCAACTTGACAGTTCTATATTATGTGTTAATTTTTCCACTTTTTCTGGTAGTGCCTTGACCTTTAGAGAACTAGAGTCATGGTTAGGTTGCAAACTCATTGCATCATATTGTGCTTACTTGACTACTTGTGCATCTCTTGCTTGTGCATATTTACACTAATCGTTTGTTTGGCTTGTGATTAAATTTAAATAAACTAATTAATGACTAAAGGACTTTACTTAATAAATTAATCAATTAATATAAGTAATTAAAGTCTAAATAAGTTGATCGAACCTGACTTAGTATGGCTATGGTTTTTGTCCTCTAAGGTAGAACGCTGGAAACAGGCCCAGACCAACGTTTCGGCAATGACGCCGAGGTTTGACCTGTGGGGAGACACGCTAGTGTCCGTCGTGAAGCGACGATGCTGGCGCATTGGGACAGTCCTATTGTTTGCGTGATGGTCCATTTTCCTGCTTGAGTCTTCGCGTGGAGTCTAATTAATTATTTTTATTAATGGCAAAAACCATATTTAGTCCTGTCGCACACCGACAATGCCATCGCACTGCGACGGGCACTGTTTTCTCTACGCCAGTTCCTACATGCCTCAGCAACTTTCTGTTCTTAGAATTTTCCTGTTTTTTGTAGCGTTATTTCGATTCTAGTTCTGAAAGATATTTCCCAAATTTCCTACATATAAAAATCCTATGTTTCTGACGCATTACGGATGGTCTATCCAATACAGACCTTTTTATGCATATGCCAATAATGTTAATCAAAATTACGCGAATGAATATTTAGAACGTTTCGAGTCTCATCCACTCATTCTAAATTATTTCCAAAATAAATTTTACAGATTAAAATAGAAATCCTCCCCACTAGAGTCGCCAAAAACTGTAGGGTTCAAGCATCTCACACTTGAACCCCATTGTGATCATACTCTTAAGTATTGTGGCGTCCAAAGGGAAGGAAGCTAGAGTAAAAGAGTTGCCAACAAGTTTTAGGAACTTGTAAACCGTTCACAAGGGTGAAGGTTACACCCCTTCACGATCCATGAGATCACAACTCCATAGTGGTCTTGAACCATGACTGGATATTCAGGGATGAAGGTACAAATTCAACCTAAAAGAGATTGAACCTGCCCTAAAAGTAGGCCTTTACTTTATTCTTCTCATATTCATGTGCGCTTTCTGACTAACATACAATCAATATATTAACCCTAAACCTGTTTAATCTATGTTGGTTGAATATTAATGCACAAACAAATCTTTTATTAGTGATCACTTGAATTATAATCATGTAGCCTAAATAGAATTATTAATTATCTTATTAAGTCTGATTTCAAGAACAAATTCCCTTTAAACCTGCAAGTGAGGGCGTGATCAAACATTAACAATAATACTACCTTTGTTTCATATTATTTGCAACCATTAGACATTTTTCCTCTCTACTTGATGTCAAACCGTTGCAAATAATATGTAACGGAGGTAGTAATATATCAAGCAACATAATATTGATGCAACAAATCATCATCATCACAATAATATTCTCAAAGCATAATAATATTAGCAAGACCCTAGGCATGATACTAACAAGATTAATAACAAATCCTAGCATGTCACTAAACAAAAATCAAAGGTTTATCCCTAACATGATACTAACATGATAGAAGAAAATAGCACTACAAAAAAAAAATGAGAATAGACAACACTTAAGATTGCAACACTTACAAAAATGTTACTCTTAATAATCTAACACAACAATATTTACTTGTTACTTGGAACTAAAGTAACAGAAAAAAAAAGTGTTGCTCTAGACTATATAAGGCAACAGTCACTTAAAGTGTTACCTTTTTCTTGTCTAAGACAAAAAACTAATAATTGTTGCATGAAAAAATAACAATAACAAAACTATAGTTTGAAAATGTAACATTAATATCAATATTGCCATTTATGGCAACATTTATACTAAAAAGTCTACATAATTTAAGATGTTTTTATGAAGAGTGTATATATATAGATGTTTTTATGAAGAGTGTATATATATATATATATATATATATATATATATATATATATATATATATATATATATATATATATATATATATATATATATATATATATATGAGAATGATCTTAAAATGAGAAGAATGATAAGGAATCTTGACCGTACAATCGCATCCAACGATTCACATTTTCATGCTGCAACAAAATGCACATTTAGACAAAAAATTATGCTTATTAGTACAAAAGTTACGCATATTTAATTAAAAAATTTTACACATTCATTTTTTAGTTTTATTTTCCCTTTGTGTTGTCTCTTTCTTTCTCTTCCATTAAATTTATTCAATATCTAACTTTTAATTTAGATTTAGAGTTGAGAAAATAATTTGAATATTTGATTTGGTGAGTATGCTGATGATAACATTAGATTAGAAACCATATTTTACGGATTGAATTGACGTTGCCGGCGAATGTACTTTCCGATCACTAGAAAAATATGTGATTACTCGCGTGTGACGTCGCTTTGAGTTTAGGCTTGCCGAAGAGAGAGGAGTTTCAATTATAGGGTAAGTTTCATCTGTTGGGATTGTAAGTTTCTCGAAGAAGTCGAACACGTATTGTAAAATATTTTTTCAATGAAGTGAATGGAAATGGTGGAAGAGAAGGTGGCGGTGGTAATGGTGGTGATGATGAGGAAAGTTTTTGATTGGGAGATGTAGATAAGGAGGAGAGTGAAGGAGGTTGAGGAGATGAGTGTCGGAGAAAGAAAAAGTAGAGGAGTTTTGAATCAGATTTTTACTTTGCACATTTTATTAATATATATATATATATATATATATATATATATATATATATATATATATAATGAGAATCAAGGCTAAATTAAGAACTAGGAACTAATCTAGGCCCTTAGATCATGTTAATCGGACGACTCACATGCTTCCCGTGTCATTGATGGAATTTTTGTAATATTTTAACTTTATTAAGTAGTTTCCAGTTTTATTTTTCAAAAGTAAATGAAAATGTAGTAAAAGTAAATGAAATCAGTCTTAAAGTAAATGAAATTTCCTGAAAAGTTAAAAAAAAACTAGAAAAAAGTTTAAAAACAGCAAAATTACAAGAATGTCATTAATGAAAACGGGTACAATGTGAGCCATTAGATGGAGTGCGATCAATGACTGAGATTACTTCCTACTTCTTATTATTCACCTCGGTCTCACATGATCTCATATATATATATAGCAACCAATTCTATAATAGGAACTAGGAGCCCATTACAACCGTTAAATTAAAAAATAATGGACGGATAAAATCATTTTAATACGTAGTATTCAGATCGAGATCACCTAATTTCCCCTCTCTCTCCCGATTCTCTCTCCTCCATTGAAGCCATTGCTATGAATTCTCCATCAAAGCAACTTTTGAGCTTCCAATTCTCCATTGAAGCAACTTTCGAGCTTTATTTAATCCATTGAAGCAGCTTTTGAGGTATGATTTTTTTCTTCTCGTTTTTAAATCTCTAAATTTCTATACTTATGGTTTATCGTTAATTAATTTTCAGTATGGTGAATTTAGGGTTGATAATAGTGAAATTTGAATTGTAACTATAGTTTCGGAGGTTGTGAACTTGTAAACGATTATAAATTAACTTGAAATCCATTCATATAAAGCTTAAAATTTTTCTAGGCTTATAAAAAGTTTAAGCGACATTTTTTTGATTGATATTTTATCTTATTTTTTTGTAAATTAGACATGATTTTGCTGGAAATTATGTTTGGATTTTTTTGATATTTAGTTTATGAATGTGTCCGAATTATGAAAAATATTGCAAACTAATTTGATTTGAGATATTTCAAACAAATCATTGACCTCCTTGTTTGATTTTGTTGGAATTATGATAGTTACTTATTTTGATATTCAATGAGGCAAGTTAGGGCCTGTTCACATTTACTTAATTTCAGTTCAGTTCAGTTCACCTCCAATCAATTCAGTTCACCTCCAATCAATTCATAAAATATTCATAAAATATTCATTTGAGCTCAATTCAGTTCAGTTCCAATCAGTTCAGTTCAGCTCCAATCACTTCAGTTCAGTTCAGCTTAGTTCAGTAAATGTGAACAGACCCTTAGTTATTCTTAATCAATTTTTAGGTATGTAATTTTGGTGAGAATTATTCAAATCTCTTGCTTACAACTGAGTGATTATGAATTGTTAATGCTTCTTGTTATGTTTAAAAGTAATTAGAAAATTAGTAAAAGTAAAACAATTAGTCTCAAAAGTAAATAGAAAATTTGTGCTAATTGGTGCTAAACGATTTTGGTGTGAAAGTTGAGGATGTGATCAATGGGGCTATGATTTCAGTTGGTCTAGGGGGTGTTATTCGTGACACTATAGGTGAGGTCCTTTAAGTATGCCTGGGTGCTTGACAAGATCTGAGCGTGAGCGTGGTAATACTATTGATATTGCCCGGAGGAAGTTCAAGACTAAGGCCCTGCCTGGATTGGCAGTAAAGAGGGAGGAAAGAGTAAAGGAGTAAAATATTCTGGTACTTTTACTTGCCTGGATAGAAAGTAAAATTGCAAGGGAGTAATATATTCCCCTAAAAAAGGGCGTAAAAGTTACCCAGCCCCCCCCCCCCAGTGAAATGATTTCCCCCTCAACATCACCGCCTGATTTCCATTTCTCTCATTCTCCTCTTTACCAACCTGCCTTCAACCTTCCAACTCCCACCATCTTTATTCCACCAAAGCCAAGTCCAACAAAAAATTATTTATACTCCAATTTTTATGAGCTTACCAAGGTCCGTTCAAGTTAGTGCAGGCAATGGAGGAAATCCTTACTCTAGAATTAATGCCAAACTGTAGGAAAATGAAGTTTTACCCTATACCTGATCCTCTGCTAATTTTTTCCCCATTAGATTTTAATCCCCTAATTATTTCAAGGAATCCAGGCAGGGCCTAATAAGTACTACTGCACTGTCATTGATGCCCCTTTATCAAGAACATGATTACTGGTACCTCCCAGGCTCACTGTGCTATCCTCATTATTGACTACACCACTGGAGCTTTTGAGGCTGGTATCTCTAAGGATGGCCAGACCCGTGAGCACGCCCTTCTTGCCTTCACCCTTGGTGCCAGGCAAATGATTTGCTGCTGTAACAAGGTTATTCATGATCATGTACTTTGGTATCTGAATTGGTTGATTCTGACTTTTGGTTTGTTTATTGTATGTAACAGATGGATGCCACCAATCATAAGTGCTCAAAGGCTAGGTATGATGAAACTATCAAGGAAGTATCTTCATACCTCAAGAAGGTTGGATACAACCCTGATAAAATTCCATTTGTTCCTATCTCTGGGTTTGAGGGTTATTTTGTTTATGAATTTGTTCGAAAAATATTGCAAACTAATTTGATTGGAGATATTTTAAACAAATCATTGACCTCCTCGTTTGATTTTTTTGGAATTATGATAGTCCTTATTTTGATATTTAATGAGGCCAACTTAGTTATTCTTAATCAATTTTCAGGTATGTAATTTTGGTGAGAATTATTCAAATTTCTTGCGTACAAACTGAGTGAATATGAATTGTTATTGCTTCTTGTTATGTTTAAAAGTAATTAGAAAATTAGTAAAAGTAAAACAATTAGTCTCAAAAGTAAAAAGAAAATTTGTGCTAATTGGTGCTAAACGATTTTGGTGTGGAGGTTGAGGATGTGATCAATAGGGCTATGATTTCAGGTTGTCTAGGGGTGTTACAACATATGTTGTTTCCATACATTATACTTACAAGTTGTGGGAGCTTTGTACATTTTGAGAGTCTTATTTTGCTAATGTGGCTTCGACTATAAGTTTTTAATTTGGTTGCTATTATCTTTAATATGTCGGTTCAGTTTTGCTTTACGTCTATCTATGCTAATTTGAATTATTAATGTTTCATATTGTTTTATCAATCTAAAATGTAGATAAAAATCAAGTAAAAGTGAACAAATAATAGTTTGAAGTAAATAGAAAAACTGAAACTATTATTTATATTATAGTTTGAGCAATCAAAATTAGAGGGAGAACAAAGTCAGTTGTGTGGAAAATGGTAAGGTTGAAGTGATTGTCAATGTTGTTATGCTAGCTAGGTCTGGTACCTATCTCCATGAAAGTATTTATCTCATACAAGTAAATCAAATCTCTTTTAAATTAAAATAAATCTCTGTAAAAGTGAGCTAATCCTCTCTTAAATTAATCTATTGCCAGTGTCGTTAATGTTAGTTGTTATGCTAGGTATATATAATGTGTTGCAGGAAAAGTAAAGGAGCTATCAACTTCATTATTATGCTATACTTTCTTCATTTTTCTCATTGTATGAGAGAAAAAAGTAGTTGTTTTCACACCTGATGTTTGTTTCCCCTTCCTCATTAAGATTAGTTTGTGTTCTTTGAGATAGCTTACTTAAATTGCTGCTATTTTAGTGCATTCACCAATTTGAGCTTTTTTTTTTTCTTTCCAATAGCAATTGTCAAATTTCAAAGAACGATCATAATTCTAAGTGGTCTCTAAAGTAAATAATAAAAAGGAAAATTTTTAAATTACCACCCAAAAATGTAACCAATTTTGAACTAACCACCCATTAAATTTTTTATTTTAAATTACCACTTGTTAAATTAAATAAATGCTTAGATTACCACCCATTTTCAAAATCCGGTGGATTTTTCGTTTGTGGGCCCCACCTATCACTTATTTGACCCTTTTTACTGTTTTTTTTCCCGATTTTTCTCTTTAAAAAAGCTCTTCTAACTTCAATTCACATTTTTCTCTTTGAAATTTGGTTGAATTTGGTGATGGAAATGTGAATTAAAGTATATAGAGCGTTTTTAAAGAGAAAAATCATGGAAAAAATAAATCAAAATGGTTTAAATAAGTGTTAGGTGGGGCCTACAGACGGAAAATCTAACGGATTTTTGAAATGGGTGGTAATCTGAGCATTTATTTAATTTAAGGGATGGTAATTTAAAATAAAAAATTAAACGGGTGGTTAGTTCGAAAATGGTTACATTTTTGGATGGTAATTTAAAAATAAACCTAATAAAAAATCTAAAGTAAATAAATAAGACTTTAAAGTAAACCTATTAGCTCAAGTGGTAGACCACTATACTGATGCATAGAGGAGTAGGTTCAATTCCTACATAGGTTATCTCTAAAATTAAATGTAACACACACTAAAGTAATTGGAAATTTCTCAAAAGTAACTATAAATTAAACCAAATTAGTTTTCAAAAATCAAAGCTTAAAAAACCATAAAGCAACAGTATATATGGGTCGGCTCTTCCAAAATATCATTATACTACCTCCGTTACATATTAGTTGCAACTTTGGAATATTTTATCTCTCACAAATAATACCCAAAGTTGCAACTAATATGTAACGGAGGTAGTACAATGTTTCATAGTAAGAAAGAGAAAAAGAAAGAAACTTGGTATAGATTGTACTTTGAAGTCATCATCAAAAATATCTAAAAAGTAGATACAATATACTATAAAGTAAATCGATATATTGTAAAATTAAATCAAAAAAAATATCAAAAGTAGGGTAAAAAATAGTTTTATCAAATAAATAAACCTACGTGGGATTCGAACTCACATCTTTTGTGCATTTGCACAATGCTCATCATGTTGAGCTAGTAGGCTAATATATATTAAACATTCAAAAAGTAAATAAAAATATTTTAAAAGTAAATTAGAAAACTTATGCAATAAATGTGAATCATTGGAGATGGAAAACAATAGTGAATAGTACAATAAGTCAATAGCTAACTCCCACCGTAAGCACCAAAATTACTTCCCCACAACGGCATGAGCCACATGGTAGTATGGGGCTAATGATGTTGGCCTTGTTTATATATTCCCCCTCCCAATTCCCACCCCCTTCCATTTTTAAAATGCACTAAAGCGATATAAATAAAAACCTTGTAAACATGCATCTCAAAACAAGCACAAAAAATCAGTGTTAGAAGTAGTATTGAGATATTAACATCATTTTGTTCTTGCAATTTTAATCAATCTATATATGACTGAGAATGTAGCATTTTGTTCAACCAAAATTTATCAATCTATAATTTCACATGATACATATTCTACACTTAATTTGACAAAAAAGAATTTACATACATGCATTAGTAATATCATACAAATAGGACATGGACTAATGTGAAATTTCATGAGAACAAATGAAAGGATCAAGCAGGCTTCACCCAACGGTCAAATAACAAAGTTCCCTATCACAGTTTCCATTTATTAAGTATTACAGCTGATGTATCAAAGTTTTTGCTTAAGTAATAGATGACTAAAGCAATTATTATAAGCAATGGCATAATACCAGAATTATTATAAGCATGATCCTTGTGAGAGACATTAGGCTCAAAAAATGCAGAATACAGACACAAGAAATTTTAAGTGTTTCCTTCATAACAAATTAAACTCATTACGAGCGATCTTGGCCCCAATATGCTCACTAATATATAGTCCTTGTCCTGTACCCCAAATTCTATGCAATAACAACAACAAAACCATAATTACAACTTTAATAAGCAATTAGCATCAGATAGCTTCAATACTCACATAATATCTAGAGACAACAGGCATATTTTTCCCTCCAAAGCACCTGCCAACAAGAGCACCCTGGAACCCAAGCTGTTATGCAGTTGGAGCACCACCATTAGTAACAGGAGGCGCTGCTAGCTCCTAGTACTGATGTTGAGGTATTCAAAGGAGGTGGCTCAGGTGGCCTATTTGCTTGCACTGGTGCACCAAGAGCACCTGGTTGTCCCGCAACTTGTCATGGAGCCCCATAAACTGTAAACAATTTGGAGCTTTTAATTAATTTGATTGCCCAAGGAGGTCAACCATACTTGAAAAGTGCTCCATTTGAGGTCAATCAACCCTTCCATGCTTAATTCTCATATCAACAACAATAAAATATAACAGAATTATGAAACATCAACACCACACCACAATGTACAAAACTTAATCATTACAATCAACTCAAAAGTAAATAATTTAAGCTCAAAAGTAACAACACAAGATACAAAATCTCACTCATTTAACACCTCAATCTAATTTTCAGATATCCGATCCATCTTTATTCTAACTAGTTGTGGGTATGCGCGCTACGCGCACGCCCCCCCCCCCCCCCCCCCCCCCCAAATTTCGTAAAAATTATTTAGCAAAATGTTTTTAACATATTTTTTACGATTTAATATAAGTTTATGATAATTATAAGTGTTAAAATTCATCCTTTTTCTTTCTTTTTTTTTTTTAACAAAAATGCAACTTTTATTATGAACTTTCTTCATTTAGTTTCACATATCTATCTCACTTTATTATGGTTGTACTCTCGTTTTCTATTTCTCTTAAACTATCTATTATGATTAAGCATACAAAAATTTATATTAAAAAAAAAAACAATTAGGTTGAAAATTTAATTCTAAAGGTGTTATTTATCAATTTGATATTCTGATAACTGTTACGGAACAACATTGATTAATTAATATCATCTCCGTTTCTTTTTATATGCAACAAATGAATTTTTAATGTTTCACAAATAATTCCTCTTTGTTACAATTAAAAAGAAATGAGGGCACCCCAATTTATAGATTTGATTAATTAAGCATGTTTATATTGTCCTCGTGGCGTCTGAGTCATCTCTGACATTGGTACCTGTTGGAGTTAGGAGTTTGTGGGTACTTCCACGTAGTTTAAACTAGGACATATTTTGACGCTCCAAATCATGACGTTAACTAACATTTACACTGACAAATATGAAATTTATAGCTTTTCGTTGGTGGTTGAGTCGTGTCGGCACCTTAAAAGAAGTTGAGGAGTTTTCCTTGTTGTGGAAGCTGAAAGGGAATCTAGTCTGGATTACGGGAGCACTGAGATTTGTATTTAGTCGGGGAGGCCTTCTCCGTGGAATTATGGCCGTACAAAGTAAGTAAAGTTATAGGTTGCAAGTGGAAGACAAATTCCAACTTGAGATGACGAACTGCTTCACCCACGATGCCGAATATGTTTTCCCAAATGATATTGGTTCACCGCAAAATCAAAATTGCTTTGCACTGTCCGATTCGTCAAGCCAGGACACTAACGGTGTGTTTGGATGGAAGGAAATGGGGGGAAAGGAGGGGAAGAGAAATGGAGAGATGGATTATCATTCATTTGGATAGCAAATGACGAAGGGATCGGAGGAATTGGAGGGGAGAGAAATGAAAGGATTAAATTGTTGGACATTAATCCTTTCAATGGAGAGATTTGGATGGAAAACTCACCATTCTTCCCTCGTCTTCCTTTCCCTCCCCTTCTTTTTCTTCTCTTTTCTTTATCCAAACAAACTGTAAGTCCTTATCACCAATTTCCTTCAACCTGGATCCAGCTCCTGTTGCAATTCAAATTGCCCCAAT